CCTCCACCCCCCATACATAAACATCAGTATTATAATAATAATAATAATAATAATAATAATAATAATAATAAATATAATAATAAAACACAAACCAAGGAAATTCTGGAAAGGGAAAAATCTGAGTAAATTTTCAGGAACTAATGATGCAAGCATAAACAACAGAATACAAGAGATGGAAGACAGAATCTCAGGTACTGAAGATACACTAGAGGAAACAGATACATTGGTCAAAGAGAATGTTAAAGCCAACAAATTCTTAACAGAAAATATGCTAGAAGCCTTTATCATTTATTACAGAAGTAGCAATTAACATTCTAGGTTATCAGCTCCAGAAGATTTGTTTCTATGAATTTGGCTGTATGTAGAATACATATTGGGTGCTTCGTATTCTCAAATAGGCCCCAGAGAAAGGAATTCCTCCTCACCAGGCAGTCAACAGTAAAAGCTGCAACCTCAGGATCTCTCACTACATAGCCTTAGTTTTTCCCTCTGATACAGTGCTGAGAAACCCCCTTTAATCAGCTGACAGCATGTATTGCAAGTCATGTCTCCCCGAGGCGCCCACATTTCTCATAATCTTACTGGACTTCCTGGCTCTGAGAGATATGCATGTCCTACTGTCAGAGTTGTTACATATACCTATGGATATAAAAACTAGAAGCCTTGTGAAATAGGAAGAATTTTTAGAAGCAACTTTTAAATCTTAAAAGAACTTTAAGCAAGCTTTTAGAGAAAGAACTTTTGAGGACAGAATTTTTAGAGAGAAATCTTAAAGAGAGCTTTTGGCAAGAATATTTTTAGAAGAATAAAAAGAATAAAAAGCCTTCATTCTTGAAAAATAAAGAGCTATGAGAGGAACACATGTGTGAGCCAGTTTATTTCCTTTTGGTCCTCAGATCATATCTCTAATAGGGATACAGAAAGGAGAATACCAGCTCAAAGGCACAAAAAATGTATTTAACAAAATCACAGAAGAAAACCTTCCCAACCTAAAGAAGGACATGCCTATGAAAATACAAAACACCAAATGGATTGGACCAAAAAGAAAAGAAAAAAAGTCCCCTCACCTCATAATAATCAAATACTAAACATACAGAATAAAGAAAGAATATTAAGAGCTGCAAAGGAAAAAGGCCAAGTAACATACATACAAAGGCAGACCTATCAGATTTATATCTGACTTCTCAATGGAAACATGAAAGCCAGAACATCCTAGACAGGCATTATGCAGACAGTGCCAGCCCAGACTACTAATCCAAGCAAAGCTTTCAATCACCATAGACAGAGAAAACAATATTCCATGACAAAACCAGACTTAAACAATACCTATCCACAAATCCAGTCCTACAGAAAGTACTAGAAGGAAAACTCCAACCCAAGGAAGTTAGCTACAACCAAAAAAACATAGGCAATAGATAAGTCTCACAGCAGCAAAACCCAAAGAAGGGAAATGCACACACAATACCATCAACAATAAAAACAAAACTAACAGGAACTAGCAATCACTGGACATTAATATCCCTTAATATCAATGAACTCAATTCACCTATAAAAAGACACAGGCTTACAGAATGGATATGAAGACAGAATCCAAAACAAACCTCAACTTCAAAGACAGACAATAACTCAGAGTAAAGGGCTGGGGAAAGATTTTCCAATCAATGGACCTAAGAAACAAGCAGATATAGCTATCCTAATATCTAACAAAATAGACGTCAAACTAAAAGTAATCAAAAGAAATGAAGGATATTTCATATTCATTGCAGGAAAAATCCAACAAGTCTTGATTCTGAACATCTATGCCCCAAATATAAGGACACTCTCATTTGTAAAAGAAACACTACTAAAGTTTAAATCACACATCAAGCCCACACACTAATAGTGGGGAGACTTCAACACTCCACTCTCATCACTAGACAGGTCTACCAGACAGAAATTTAAGAGAGAAATAAAGGAACTAACATATGTTATGACTCAAATGAGCTTAATAGACATCTACAGAACATTCCACCCAAACACCAAAAAATATACCTTCTTCTCACCACCCACGGAATCTTCTCTAAAGTAGATCATATACTCGGTAAAAAAAAAAGAAAACATAAAAAAAAAAAAAAAAAAAAAAAAAAAAAAAAAGGGATAACCCCCCTGTATCTTATGGGATCACCATGACTTAAATTTAGAATTCAATAACAACACTAATTGCAGAAAGCCCACAAACTCACAGAAATTGAACAATGCTCAACTAAATCACCACTGGGTCAAAGAAGAAATAAAGAAAAAAATTAAAGACTTTCTAAAATTCAATGACAATGACCACACAACCTACCTAAACTTATAGGACACAATGAAAGCAGTGCTAAGAAGAAAGTTCATAGCACTAAATGCCTAAAGAAGCTGGAGAAATCCCATACTAGTGAATTAATGAGACACACTGATAAAGGTGTTTTTTTTAACGGTTTATCTATTTACTATGTACACAGTGTTCTGCCTGCATATGCGCTTGCAGGCTAGAAAGGGGCACCAGATCTCATAATAGATGGTTGTGAGGCACCATGTGGTTGCTGGGAATTGAACTTGGGACCTCTAGAAGAGTAGCCAGTGCTCTTAACCTCTGAGCCATCTCTCCAGCCCCGAGGTCTTCCAGAGGACCTGAATTTGATTCCCAGCACCCATGTCAGGTGCTCACAACTACCTGTAACTCTAGCTTCAGGGAATCTGATGCCCCTGGACTTCTTAAACACCTACACCCATTGCATATCCCCCCCAACACACATATACGCATAAATATTTAAGGAAAAAAAAAGAGAAATAATATTGCTAAGGTTATCTCAAGTTCAAAATTACTGAATGACTATTTTATTAATTCCCCATTCAAATTACAGATTTTTTAGGCATGGAACCCTGATGAATCTTTTTACCCTCCAATGCCAATCAGCCAACTATGCTCTTTAGTGACAATTTACTTCCTATAAATTATGAATACAGTCTATACAAATCTTGACTCAATAAGGATACGTAGTTTCAAACTCAACACCAAAAAACTGATCAATTAAGCTTTTCTTTTTAGAAGGTGTCACTGCTGATGCAGAAGAATCTGTCTGAAAATTAAAAAGAAAATTCTAGTTTTACTTTTTGTAGATTTCAACACAACCCAGTTCACTAATCCATAAATGTAGGCCTTTTGTGTATTTCAACCTATGATTCAAAAGCATTACCAAAAGACTAAACATATTCAATAAATATCTATAGGTTATGCTTACAAATAAGACCAAAATGCAAGTCCTTCAATTCTAAGTACAGGCTGAGCATGGGAAGTATTCCAGCAGATATCTACCTATAAAGATGTATTTATTAAAGCCATTCCAAAAAAAAAAAAAAAGACAAAAAGAAAATGAAAATAAAACACAAAGTAGCCTGTGAGTGTCTGAACACAAACACACCTCGCTCACCTCTGTCGCAGAGTCATCCTCTATGGCTTCTAGTTTCTGTTGCAACACTCGCATCATTTGTACCCAGCACTCGTTAGCATCCTGTGATTTAAAATGAAATACGTCTGTCCTGGTTGTAACACTGTTTAAGCTATAAAATTCTTCCAAAGTAGTAATAGTTTCCTTAAGGAAGAAAAGTATTTTCTTTTTAAAAATGTTCATGCAGAGCTGGGCATGATGATGCACACCTACAATCCCACACTTGGGAGGCAGAGGTAAGAGAATTGCCACAAATTGAAGGCTGCCTGATCTACACATAGTTCCAGACCAGTCTGGGTTACACAGCAAAATCCTGTCTCAAAATAAACAGAACTTGTTACCTGGACACTGCAGTGCACATCTTCTTCTCAGCACTCAGAAAAAAAACAGGCAGGAAGATGGCCACCAATTTGAGGCCAGGTTAGGGTACAAATATCTAAGTTGGAGGCCTGCATGGGTTACACAGCAAGACTGTCTCAACCCCCCTCCCCACCCATGTACACACACAGAGGCTGGGAAGATAGCTCAACAGGTAAGATTACCTCTGAACATAATCCTTTTACCTCCATCTATGTACTATGCCATACACATCCCAGCTCACAAATGCATACACACACTTCATACAAAATAACTAGAAATTAAATTTTTCTAAAATGTTTAAAGTATTCATATATCTGTGTACATGTTCCTGAGTACATATGTGCATCACATGTGTGTGGGTCCCACAAACACCTTAAAGAGCGTGTTAGATTCCTGGAACTGGAATTATAGGCAATTGAGAGCCACCTAATCTGACTGCTGAGAACTGAACCTGGGTCCTCTGGAAGAACAAGCACTCTTAACCACTGAACTATACCTTCAATCCCTTGTTTTTTTAATCATGCAAAAATAACTACTTTAACTAAACTGGTATAAGATCTTTCAAAAAGTAAAAAATTTCAGAAAATTTATCCAGCAGATTTTGTGCTCCTAGTTGAGCTATACTACTGCAGATATTTCAAATTTTCAGTGAAGAAATGGAAAAGGTCCCAATAGTGAATCTATAAGAATACATGTAGGGATGGAGCTAGAGACAGCCAGGTGAGAACTGAAGAAGATTTGGGGAGGAAGTAGAAAGTGCTGAGGCCTAAAAGAACCAGCCATAACCATGCACATAAATGAACAAAGAAGGCACTCGTATTTTAGCAAGAGAAAAGAGCATAAGGCCGGAGAAAAGTGAGCAATGAAAAGGACATGATAAAATCAGAACATGATAAATTCAGAGAAGCAAGGGGATTTAGACTGGGGCACAAAACCACTGTAAGTTAACAAACAAAAAACTAATACAGTACCATTTTTTAATAGTCATTTTTTTTTTTACTGTGTATGTGTGCATGTTTGAATGTATGCCACATATGGGGAGTACCACAGAGAGAAAGAACACAAGAGCATACGCCCCTGAGACTGTACTTCAAGAGTAGTTGTGAGCTACCCAACATGGATGCTGGGAACAGAATTTAGATCTGGAAAAGCAACAAATGCTCATAATTAAAAAATATATATATATGAAAAAATATGAAAAAAATGAAATACAAGGAGAGTAATCTCTCCAGCCCCAAACCCCACTTATTTTTAATTTATCTATTTTGGGAGCTAGCAATCAAACCCAGAGCTTTGATTATGCTAAGGCAGTACTTAATCATTTCCTCCTATCCCTCCCCTTATTTGAATTTTTAAAAGGACACCAGGGCCTGTGCGACAAAATATACAGGGATAAAACATCAAGATGACCAGCTAAAATGATAGCCACACCCTAGGCAAGAGATAATGATGTGAACAAGAGCAGATACATACCTGTGTTTCTAACTATATTCCAATTATATAATAAGTACAAAAACCTAAGTTTTGGTTAAAGAGATGGCTAAGTGGGGAAAGTGTTTACTGTCCAAGCATAAGGACCTGAGTTTCAATCCCTAGAACCCATGTCAAAGCCAGACATGTAGCTTGAGCATTTGTAATCCTAGTGCTTCTACCAGTAGAGAGGAGAATCCCCAGAAGCCTGTAGGCTAGCTAGCCTGGAGTACACAGTAGAAAATCAAGAGTGGCTCTGTCTTAAGTTGAAAAGAAGGCAAGGACCAACACCAGGGGTTGTACTCTGACAACCACACACACAGTGTGACAATCGTGCACCCACAATTACACATACAAACAGGAAAAGATAATCTAAGTTTTTTCATTTACAAAATGAGAGAAACCTATCACGGGTTACCTGCTGAAGATATTGTCCTTGTTCACCCTTCTCCGCAAACTGTGGGAAAGCCATATGCAAAAACTGCAGTAGAATAATAGGTGGTATACTAGAAGAAGTTTTATCCATGGAATCAAACAAATCTCTAAGGGCTTAAAAAGAAAACAAATACTGATTTAGAAAAACAGTAACATATTTAATATATGGTTGTTCTGTAGTGATGAAAATGTTCTAACATTATACAACACTATGAACAATGACAGACACAATTCATGGGTGACCTGTATGATATGTGACTTACATTTAAATAAAACTTCTGAGGAAAAGCCTGCTATAAAAGCTTATCTAAGCTTTTATTATCGGGCGTTGGTGGGCATGCCTTTAATCCCAGCACTCAGGAGGCGGATCTCTGTGAGTTTGAGACCAGTCTGGGCTACAAGAGTTAGTTCCAGGACAGCCTCCAAAAGCCACAGAGAAACCCTGTCTCGAAAAACAAAAAACAAAAAACAAAACAAAAAAACAAAAGCTTATCTAATCCAATTACTGAAGAGATAACTCTTTTCTAGTCAGGCATGGTGGTATGCACCTATAATCCCATTTCTCAAGAGGGAATGGCAATAAGATCTTGAGCTGAAGGCCATACTGGACTTCATGACATCCTCTCTCAATAATAAAGCGGAGGCTCTGCAATAACTACAGTGTCAAATGCCTCTGGCACAGTGACGCAGCTCATGATATTGGTCCTTTAAAGAATGTCAAATAGCTTAGCAGGAAGGAGCACACTTGGCTTGCATGAGGCCCTAGGTTCAATCCTTAGCACCACAAACACAGTAGTTACGATTTATTCTTATAAATATTACTTCTTTATTATCATCAACTTAAGTTTTTTTTTTTTACAACAATCACATCAAACTACTAAAACTTATTTCTATCATCTCCTAATGTCATTCCCAGAGATTTATCTAATAGAACCTGCAAACAAAATTACAACACAAAAAAATCCAAAGGTCTGGACTGGGGAGACGACCCAGCCAATACTGTGTATCATGAAAGCACAGGAGCTTCAGTTCAATTCCCAGAATCTAATAAAAAGCTGGAGACAGTAGAGAGATGGGAACACAAAGATCCCTGGGCCCGATGACCACCAAGACTTGCCTAACTGGCAAGCTCCAGGCCAATTAAAGGCCTCATCTCAAACAAGGCTGAAGAACAACACCTGAGGCTGACCTCTGGCTCCACATGTACAAATACACACAATACATAAAAATGCACCTACATGAACATACACTAAACAGACAAAAACCCCAAAGGGTTATTTTACTTCTTTTAAAGACAGGGTCTTTCTATTGCTTATACTCCACCTTAGCCTTGGCCTTATAATCTTCTGGCCTCAGGCTCCACTTCAAAAGTTTATTTAAAAAAAAAAAAAATCATTGGTTTGTAATCCGGATACATTTCAAGTTATTTTATGCAAGGGTAAAGATATTCCATATGAATGAAGCAACACTCCAAAACGAAATTTGTTGCTATTTGTTTGATCATTTATTTTGAGACGTGGTCTCTTTATGTAGCCCTGGCTGTTCTGGATGGAACACCTGCCTCTGCCTCCTAAGTGATGGGATTAAAGGTTTGGGGCACCAGACTCACCACCACCACCACCACCATTTTTTATTTTTTATAAAAAAGGTGGCAAGGCTTTACCTGAAGAGATGGTTCAGTGGTAAAGGTGCCTACTGCCAAGCCTAACAAATCCAAGTTCAATTACCCCAGGATCCACATGGTCCATGGAGAGACCCCACTCACAAAAGTTGCCCTTCTGGCTTGTGCACGTGCACGCGCACGCGCACACACATGCGCGCGCGCGCGCGCGCGCGCACACACACACACACACACACACACACACGTAACATTTATTGAATGAGAAAGACAAGTCTCTCAGCACACACACTAACCTGCAGTGATATACTGTGCTGAAGCCATTTCCCCTGAAGCTCTCAAGGCACCTGCATACCTAGGAACGTTAAGTATAACAACATAATTAATTCATTCTGAAATTAAAATGAGAAGAAATTAGTTAAAAGAAATTATTATGATATTCTTAAATTCAAATTTCTCAAAGTAATTGTTCCCTTCTGGTCTCACATAAACACAATGGACCTTAAAAGCCTATTTAAATGTAAAAGCCACACACCGAGACTCTGCACTAACTTCCTATATAATACTGCTTAGAGTAGAAGCCGCACACCTCCTTTCAGCATTAACTCATCTAACGCACTAAATCGTTGGCAGGTCAAGGCTCTAGTAAAATTTCTGCTTTCTCTTCCAGCTTTATTATGCTGAATAATAAAGGGAAAATTCCAACCATGGTTATTGCTCACACATTACCTCATTATGAAGAATCTCAATCTCCATTCATGACAAATTCGCTATAGTACAATGGCTTTCCTACTACACACCACTAGAGTAACTAATAAGAGACCAACCAGAACTACAAGTACAATCAACCATGACAAGTCTCAACTTCAGGTTGAGTAAAAACAACTAAGGAATGCCTGTATGATCTGTTTGCATTCCAGAACTGCAAAGCTGCTGGAGACACTTAGAGTGAGTGAGCATGATTAACTGGAGAAAAAGCTAACACTTCTGGAATATGCTCTAATTTGGCAGGAAAACAGATTACAGAGAATTAACATCCGTCAAAACCAATCAAATCATAAGAATAAAAAATCAAACCAAATGTATGCTATGTACCCCCGTAGATGCAAAGTGTGTGATTACATACACAGGATGAAAGAGGGCACAGAAAAGACATTAAATTACCTCCAACACAAGGGCTTTGCTTTCCTATCATCTGTTTCTAACTTTGAACTGTCACATGTTTCTAACTATGGTGTGAAACTTTTTTTTTTTTTTTTTAATTTACAGGTTCAAACAAGTGGAGGGCAGGCAACATCTTTCAGATTACTTCAGATTCTCAAAGAAATCAAAACAAGACTAATATATATAACTTGGGAGTAGAGCATTGTTTGGAAAGGCCATAATAAACAAGCAGTGAACCAGACAGTGACAGACAGATTAGTGGCACAATGAAGTCTGTCCCAAACTATACCATATAACTTTTTATTTGTTTGTTTGTTTTCAAGACAGGGTTTCTCTGTGTAGCTTTGGAGCCTATGCTGGCAATCGCTCTGGAGACCAGGCTGGCCTCAAACTCACAGAGATCTGCCTGTCTCTGCCTCCCGAGTGCTGGGATTAAAGGCGTGCGCCACCAACGCCCGGCTAACCATATAACTTTTTACAAAGCAAAATGCAGATTAAAACATTACAAAGTTTGAAAAAATTGATCTAAACATTTTGGACTAGAGAGATGGCTCAGAGGTATAGAGGTTCTTTTGCACAGAACCCAGGGTCAGTTCCCAGCATCCACATGGCAGCTCAAACCGTAACTTAGTTTCAGGGGATCCAATGCGCTTTTCTGGCCTCCAAGGAAATCAGGAACACCTGTGGTGCAAGCATACATGCAGGCAAAACACTCACACACATAAATTACTTTAAAAATCATATGTCTGACCTGAAAATTCTAACTTACTCAAACTTAAAGTGGTTAATTGAGCACCACAGATTAAAAATTATGAACACTTAGATTCTAAGAACATTTAGGAGGACAAAAATAAAGAAAAAAACAAACAAAAATACAATATCAACCACTCTCAGACCAGTGAGGCATAGGAAACTTTTGAGAAATAACTATTAACCACTAAAGAAACAATTTTGACCTAGGATTTCTACACCAAGAGAAATGGGTTAAAAAATTTTGAAAAATTGCAAAATGCTTACTATTATTTTTACTTAGAAATATGGCCTGATACAATCAAAGTGAAAAAAGTACTAAAGAATAAAATAACTACCAGTATCAAGAACTGAATAATTAGAATGCTCGTATTCTCCTTAAAATTTTGCAATAAAGACTCCAATTGCCATCATATAAACAACTCATTATTACTATTACAGTGTGTGTGTGTGTGCACAATCACAGCTGAGGAAGGATAACTGTCAGACATCAATTTTCTCCTTCCACATGTGGATCTGAGGTATTGAACTCAGGTCCCGAAGCAAGCATCTTTACCAACTGAGAAATCTCACTAGCCCCCTATGGCATATTTTTAAGGATTCATTTATTTTATTTTATGGGCAGAAGTACTTTTCTTCATGTATGTATGTACACCACACACATGTGTGTCTGGTGCCTTCAGAAGTAGAAGAGGGTGTCAGACCTTCTAGAACTGGAGTTACATACATACAGTGACGAGTTGCCCTAAGGTTGCTGGGAAATGAATGCAGATCTGCAAGAGCAGTTAAGTGCTCTTAATTGCTGAGCCATCTCTCTAGCTCCTACAATTTTTTAATTTATACTCACTGAAAAGAGATTTACAGACTAATTCATAGGTTCTCAAGACGTATGACTTTTATTCATTTGTGATGGCATATAAAAACGAAGTTTTCATATTTTTTTTAAACTACCATTCAAATAACATAGTTAAACCTACAGGTTAAGGAAACAAAATTAATAGTCCAGATATAAACTAGTGTTAACAAAGTGAGTAAGACAAGTGAATGAGTTAGAAAAGTTTGACAAACAGTGCTGGAAGAATTGTGTTATTTGTATGCAAAAAAAAAAAAAAAAAGATGAAGTCAGACATCTACCTCCTACCATGCATAAAATTTAACAGGAAATATTCCTCAATGAAAAACTTCTCTCTCCTAAAAAAGGTAATGTGGCCAGGCATTCATTTAGCTCACACCTTTACTCCCAGCAGAGGCGGATTTCTTTATGTTTCAAGACCAAACTGATCTATATAGTAAGATTCAGGAAAGCCAGAGACCCAGTCTTAAATAAAACAAAACAACACAAACAAAAACATAGTATAAATGTTTATCGCAGAGTTAATTTCTAACGACAAAGTCCATTACAATGTTTTTAAACTTACTCTGTGTATGCTCATGCTGCAACGCACATGTGAGGAGTCCCCTCTCCTTCCCTTTGCTTAAGAAAGTCTTACAGCATACTCCAGCTAGCTAGCTTATAAGCTTCCAAGCACTTTGCCTGTCTCTTGCTTCCCATCTGGCCTATGAGGACTGGATTACAGATGCATGCCACTGTATCTGGCTATTTACAACCTGACCAAACTCAGGTTACCAGGCTTACATACCAACCTTATTCAGCTACTAAGCCATCTATCTCCCTAGCTCCTACATTAAAATATTTTTAATGTGCTATACACATACTATCCACAAAGTTAAACAACTCAGAATACAGAAAAAAGTACTTGCAAATTATTCGGTAAGTCAATTTACAATATATTTTAAAAACCACAACTGAATTTTTTTTAAGGCGAATAACTCAAAAACAGGCCAAGGACATAGACATTTTCAAAACATATACAAATGTCCAATGTAGACCTGAAAAGATGTTCAACTTCATTAGACATTACAAACACAAATAATAGTATCAGTTAGTCACCACTTCACACCTGCAGGATGACCGCAATCAAGTTCAAACTGTAACAAGCACTTAACACTGCTGGTAAAATGTAAAATGGTGCAGCCTCTTTTGAAAATTTCCTGTTTCACAAAATCTTAAGCAGTTAATCTATGACTAAACAACACATTCCTAGGTACATAAGCAAGAGAAATGGAAACAAACTTTCCAAATGTTTGTATATGAACACCCAAGGTGGTTTGAATGAGAAGTATCTTCCACAGGCTCATTTATTTGGAGACAAGAGTCCCCAGCTCATGGAGCTGTTGGGGAAGTTATGGACTTGCTGGTGTAAGTACATCATTAGGGGTGGACTTCACCAGTTTATACCCTTTACCACTTCCTGTTTCCCCTTCTGCTTCTAGTGTACAATAAAGGTGATCAACCAGCTTCCTGCTCCTGCAGCCACACCTCCTGCGGCCACACTCTCCCACCATTACACCACCATGGGATGACTACCACCCCTTTGGAACTGTATCAACCCTTTGGAACTGTAAGCCAAGATAAGTATGGAGGGGACACTGCAGGGCTCATGGCCAGCAGGGAAATGAGAGAAGAATGAAACTTAGGGTCAGCACTTTAGCAGGAACTGGGTCAGAACATCCAGAGTCTGGCCACAGTTAAGCACAGTAAAACTTTTCGAAAAGATTTCCAAGCGACAATTATCACAACAAAGCTTTAGGCATAGCTACATAGAAACTCCTTGCAAAGTAGCAAAGCACCTGTGGCCTTTACAGTAAGAATAAGTTCTACTGGCTGATAAACAGAGCTCAAGGGCCTAGGGAGGGTTTGTGATAAGCATAAAGGATCCAGTCTATTGATGGAAGATGCAAAGTACATGGGACCTTTCATAAAGATGGGTTCCCTTCACTGAGAGACTAAGCTCAGGATTAGGGTCTAAACAATGCTCAGAGTATTGGGAGACTCTGAAGGCTGGCTCATAGAATAGCAAAAAGATCACCAGGTTGTTAGACAACATCCACTCAAAGCATTTTCTTCCTTTGAAGAAAATAGGTCTGTGTGTTTAACAAATCTGGTTCCTCAATGTTTTCTGTAAGCTGTGCCTCCTACATATAAACCCTTTCTTTCTCTTCCTTAAGATGCTAGTTTAGTCATGGTATCGTATCACAGCATTGGGGAACACAATGTCCATGCCAGCATTACTCATAACAGTGGACACAATCCAAATGCCTATCAAAAGAATGAATAAATAAAATTTTATACCATGAAGCAGTAACAGAGTAATACATGTTCTGCATGAATGAACCTTTGAAACTATTATGCAAAATGAATAAAGCCTACGGAAAACCACATAGTATAAGGTTATATGTATATGAAATGCCCCCAAGCAAGCAAATTTATAAAGTAGAAAGCAAATTAATTGCTCAAGGTGGGTAGAAAAATGTTACC